ATACGGTACACATTTATTGTTAAATGAAAATAAAGAAAATTTATTACCTGTTTACCGTACGGTAGTACGGTAGTTGTCAACACAAACCAGACAAACTGTGAATCCTACAGTATCAAGAATTTACTCATTTATTCAATGACAATCATGTCATCATCGTCTGGAACATCATCATAACAATCCAATTCCTGAATTTCCTGGTGAATTTCTTGTGACTCCATTTCTTTCAGAATCAGTGGACCAAATCTCTCATGTTTAGCCTAGGGGGGGCCTTATTTTCGGGGGATGCCTTATATTTCACTCAGAAGGAAACCTGTAAGTAGGTCTTATTTTCGGAGGATGTCTTATTTTTGGGGAGACACGGTAGATGGATCAAATAACTCTTGACTATTTTTTTTTAATTATTTTTTTTTTACTGATTTCAGAGTGGGAGAGGGAGACAGAGAGACAGAAACATCAGTGATGAGAGAGAATCACTGATTGGCTGCCTCCTGCCCACCCCACACTGGGGATTGAGCCCACAACCCGAGCATGTGCCCTGCCTGGGAATCGAACCATGACCTCCTGATTTATAGGTTGATGCTCAACCACTGAACCACTCCAGCCAGACAACTCTTGATCTTTATTACCATAGTTTTTAAAATGAGGAAAGTTTACCAGGTAACTAGAGTAGTCAATTTCAAAGGACAGAAAGTAGAATGGTGGTTGCCAAGGGCTGGGGGTGGGTGTAAGGAGATGGGGGGGAATTACTCTTTATTGGGTATGGAATTTCTATTTGAGAAGATGAAAAAGTTCTGGAGATGGATAGTAGGGATAGTTGCACAACAGTGTGAATGTGCTTAATGCCACTGAACTGTCTACATAAATGGTTAAAATGGAAATTTTATGATACGTATGTACGTTCTGTCACCATTGTTTTTGAGGAAACAGATCCACTGGAATAAAGGGAGTAAGTATGGATGTGATTGTGAGAGTTCTGGAGACAGACAGCACTCAATCCTTACTTCTACCATTGGTTTACTTGCTTGACCTGGGGCAAGCTATCCTGAAACCATGCCTCAGTTTCCTTCTGTGACATGGGATAAAACAGCATGCCCAGGATTTGTTACCGGAATTAAAGGAGATCATTCTATACCGCTCACTTCGCCCTGTACTTGGCACATCGTAAACTGTCAGCACACACACGTGTCATTGTGACACAGAAAGTGACTTTGGAAGTCACCCATTACAACACCCTCATTACAAACCTGAAGAGACGGACTCAGAAAGTGACTTGCCTGCAGTTCCCCAGCAAACCTGTAGCAGAGCCAGGGTGGAACTGAACCGCCCCCTCCTAAGTCCTGAGATCTCCGCCTCCAGCCAGCCCAGGGCTTTCCCTTTCTTAAGAGCTCACCTGACTTTGGGTGTTAATTTCAAGCCTCAGTGCAGAGGGGAGGGAGGACTCCACAAGCTCACAACTGGTTCTCTGTCCGTCTCCTAAAGTGAGTCAGCTCGGGGATAATGGGGTGAGTCAGCCAGCAACTCTGAAGCATGTGCCTGACTGCCAGGTGGGGGCAGGCATGGCTGGATGCCAGCCAGTGGTTCCTGTTCCCCTGAGGGGGTTTGGGGTATGGGGGAAGGAAAGGGTGAGGTCCAGGTTTCATACCTTCAATTTGCTACCAATTTCCTTCTTCGGTAAAGCGAGTAAGCCTTAATCTCCTTAAACTGCCCAGGGGATGTATACATAAAACGTGGTCTTGCCCTCAGCACAAGGTGTGAAGAGACAGGAACCAAGGAAGGACAAGTGGGAAGGTTTTGCACGAAGTTGCATCCGCATAAAGGGGATTATTATTCCGCTTCTCAGGAGAAATAAGATTCTAAGAACAAAATGGAGCCCAGCCAGGCTGCTTGTTTTTCCCATTCGTACTGGGACTTGTCGGGGTCTCTGAGTCCCTCTGTCTCCATGTGCTTCTCCCACCTCAGAGTGCCAGATCAATTCCTCAGAGGTAAATGTTATGAAGGACCTACTGTGTGCTAGGCCCAGGAACATGCCCTTGGACCCTCAGAAGAGCCCCGTAAGATCAAGCTTATTCTGAGCCCCATCCTACAGAGAGGTCATTGCAGCTCGCAGAGATGAAGCAACTCATCCACGGTGGCACCGCTGGCCGTGAGGAGCTGGGCCAGACTTCCGGACCATCCCAGCGCTTGCTCTCCTGACCAGCGTGAGGAAGAAAGTTCCTGTGGGCTGCATCAGGTCCCCTCCTTCCTCCTCCAGAGACCCCCAGAAAACAATACGTGGAAACAGAGAGAGGCAGATTCCTGCCACCCTGATATAAATAGGCGTTGAAAATGGAAAACACTAGAAACAATAATAGTTACCATTTTTCAAGTTATCTATCATATGCCTGTCACTCAACAGTCGTTTTCTCCTTTATATTCTCAATCATTCTTTGAGGAAGATACTGATATTATTCAGATTTTATAGGCGGGGAAATTGAGACTCAGAAAGGCTACATAATATACCCAAAGATACACAGCCAGCAGATCTATCTTCGAAACCTGTGCTCTACCCCCCACCTATCACGGTTGGCCTCATTCATTCATTCTTTGCTTCATTCATTTAAACATTGATAGCCTTTCTCTTGTGCTAAGCAACTAGCTAGAAGAAGGAAGTCAGAAATGCCTGAGTCCCTGCCCCAAGGAAGTCATTATCTAGAGAAAGATACAGTTCAAATAATTGTAATCTAAGTGATAGGGCCGGACCTAGGTACACTGCTGGTCAGGAGTTTTTGTTTATTTTTTTAACCGAGGCGCTGGAACTCAAGCTTACTACCTGTGTGATCCTTGGCAGATTACTTCACCTTCCTGAATCTCAGTGTTCCATTTTTTAAAAAAGGAGAGCAAAATACAGAGTTTCTGTGGGGATTAAATTAACTGAAATAATATTGTATCCATTCATTCATTCAACAAATAAGTCCTGAGCCTTGGCCAATGTGACCTGATTGGTAGAACATTGATCAATCGTCCCGTGCACCAAAGGTCACGGGTTTGATTCCCAGTCAGGGCACATGCCCAGCTTGTGGGTTTGGTCCCAGTCAGGTGTGTGCAGGAGGCAACTGATGGATGTTTCTTTCTCACATCAGTGTTTCTCTCTCTCTCTCTCTCTCTCTCAAATCAATAAAAAACATATTTTAAAAAAACAACAAATTAGTACGAAGTCCCAGTGTGCGCGGGATTGTTTTTTGGTGCTGGGGATGCTAGCTATTGTAGAAGAAGCAGACAGCAGACATTCCCTTGAAACCAGAGAGGTTTTTTTATTTATTTTTTAGTAAAAAATAATAGTACATTTTTTAATTGAAGCATAATATACATGCAGAAAAGTGCAAAAATTGGACGTGTACAGCTCACTGAATTGTGACAAACGGACACACCCTGAGTGAGCAGCACCCTGATTACAAAACATGACCAGTCAGGTCAGAATTAGGGTGTGGCAAGCGAGGCACTCATCTCCCCAGGAAGACTTAAGGGGGTGCCAAAAGCGCAGTCATAAAGATAAGTAGTGTATTTCATAGAGTATTTCCTAAAATCAAAACGAAAGAAAAAAAATACCCCATAATGACAAAGTACCAACATTTCAAATAATGACAAGATTAGTACCAGTGCCTGTTGAGTTATATTAAAGCTCAGGGCCATGGTGGGGGGGGGGAGGGGGAGGAATCAGTAATTTGGTGAATTAGAGGAGCCATCTCTGGACTGGGGACCAGAAGGGGTAGGAGAAGCTGGTGCGTCTAGAGTTAAACATGGGCAGTGCCAGGTCCCTGTGGGACATGACGAGGGCTGTCCTGGAGACAGCGGGACAGACAAGCCTGGTGCTCAGGAGAGAACACAGGAGTGACGGAGCGAGTGGTGGCCCTGAGGGATCTTGCAGAGAAGGACACAGAAGGATAAAGAAGGCAAGCAGAACATTCTCTAGGAGCAGGTGGTTTGAACAGGTGTGCCAATGAGAGCGAAAACATGAAGCACAAAAAAACTGTCCTGCTTGGCCCACCAGGTCTCGGAGGAGTCCAACACCGTGTTTACCTGCAGCTCGGGAGGATTTGAGATGCAAAACATCCTGCGGTCTGGGACTCCCGCATCCCAGCCCCCGCCAGCCGCCCTTGCATCAGCTGCAATTGACTCAGCGGGCCTTTCCTCCAGACTGCCATGACGTTTGCCTTTTAAAGGCAAAAAGAAAATAATAAAAATGTAAAAGCCTTTTCCCGGGCTTACTCACAGATGACTCGGGAGACGGGAGGCGGAGCCGCTAGGACTCAGCGCCGCCCCCTCGGCCGCCGCAGGGGGAGCCCACTAGCCCACAGGCGTGCGCTCCGGCACGCACTCCAGCATCATCTGCCATCACCACCTGGGACCGCCCTGCCGATCCCAGCATGCTCTCTTCCTCCGAGCAGCCAAGCCTGGAATGGCTTGGAATCAAACCCAGAAAAGTCCCCAGTTCCTTCCTGGCGGCCTCAGAGACAAAGCTGCCAGTGTGAACGCAGCTTGGGGAGGGGGGCCGCTTGGGCCCTCCGAGATGACGGCCAGGGCTCCCCGGGACTCTTCACAACTCTAAAGCCTCTAGCCTTTAGAGTAGAGGGTAGGGTAGGCTTGAGGGGAGGCCGAGATTGCCGCAAGTCCTTCTTCTGCTCAAAAACCCTCCGTGGCTCTCCTCTGCCTACTGAACCAAGTCCTGACTCCTATACCTGGCATTTGAGGGCCTTTGTGACCCTCACCCACCAGCTTCTTCTCTCATTCAGATTCCCTCCAGGCTCATCTCCTTCCTCTCCCAGCCCCCAACCCCAACACTTCAAGCACAGGGGCTACTTAGCCTGGCTCTCTCTGGCTTAATTAAGCTGCACCTTCATGACCCACTTTCAGGCATTTATTTGTTTATGCTCCCTCTCCCCCCCCCCCCCCCCCCCCCCCGCCCCCTGCACCCCCTCTTCCACTCCCCAACCCAACCTTCCAGGCTCAAATGCTACTTATTGTTTCTGGTGTTCCCTCCTTGGTTGAAGTTCAATCCTATTTCACAGGACTCAGCCACCCCAAAATAGACTAGCAGGCCTGAGAGTCTAATCTCTGACCCAGGGTCAATAGCTTCTGATGACTGTACCTCTAAAGACAGCCTCCAGGGGTCATACAACTTTCACAGGGAAAAGTTAGAGAAATGAAATTTCAACCAGGTCATGGGTGTCTGTTTGAGCAGGTAGGGTGTGAAAGGCAGGGGTAACGCTGCTTGGTCACTCCACTTTGCCTTCGAGGGCCACCATGGCAATAGGAAGGGGAGTGGTTGAAATTCCGACACCATGAATTAATACCATTTATTTGGGTAAACTTTAACTCGCATCCATTCACCTCAGGCTTACCCAGGAGGGAATTGGTATACCCGTTTTATAAACGCAGGTCTTGAGGCTCCGAGAGAGAAGGGATCTGCCCAGGGATGTCTGGACAGTAAACAGCAGAGCTGGGATTCGGTCTTCTGACTCCAGGGCTCCACCATCCGTCTCTGAGCTGGGTGGGAAGATTCTTTCTTCCCTTCAGCAATTACTCTCTGCCTGCCTGCCGTCTCTGCATGAGTTCTTCCCTTTGCCAAGAATGGCCTTTACACTGACCGACCTGGCGACCTCACATTCATTCTTCTACACCCTGCTGCCCTCCCCCTCCCCCTTCCCCGAAGATCTCCGCTCTCTCCGTGATACAAATCCTGCTCCTGTGTGCATTCTTACCCCTGCAGTGTGGTGGTACGTCTCCCCTCTTGCGTCCTCTCTAGTTTTGGGTCTCCATGAGGCTAGCTAGTGTTAGGGTTAGGGACCCATACCTCTGTCCCTGGGGAAGTGAGACCCCTAGCTGCTGGGAAGAGGCACCCAGAGTAGACTAGATGTGCTAAGGAACAGAGACTGCGTGCAAGACCCAAAAGGCACTCAATGAAAGGCTAGAAGAGTTGCCAGGAGCCTGGTACGTCAGTTGGGTACAGGGTCCTCCGGATGCGCCCGTCCATCCTGGGTCAGGGCACATACAAGAAGCAATCAATCAATGCAAAATAAGCGGAACAACGACTCTCTCTCTCTCTCAAATCAATTAAAAAATAAAGTATTTTTTAAAAGGTGGCAGGAAGCAGGCAGATTGACGGCCCATTCGTTCATCATCTCTGCCGTCCTTCTACACTCCTTCACCCAAGCGTCGGAGTGACGGGAGTCCTCTCTCGGGCCCCCTCCCCGCGCAGCCCCGCCCCCGACGTGCCCAGGCCCCGCCCCCGCGCCCCCTCCCCCGCCCCAGCACTCTCACACACACACACACACACACACACACACACACACACACACACACACACCAGTGGCGCCAGCCAATGCCCGGGGTCCTATAAACCGTGGAGGTGGCCTCGCGGAGCTCCCAGACCGCGGGTCCTGGGAGAGAGCGCCATCACACTCGCCGTCGTAGTCTCGGGACCTGAGCCGCCCGCCCGCCCGCGCGCCCGCTGCACCCGGAGCCTCCGGCGCCACACAGCCCGGCCATGGATCCCAGCGATAAGGTGAGCCGCGCGCTCGCCCGGCCCGGGTCCCTCTTGCCGCCGGCCGCGCCGTGTACCCGGGGGGCGGGCGGCGCGCGTCCCGGATCTCCGGGGCGCCGGCCTACCGCGCGGGGACCGGGCCGCGGCGGTGGCCGGGGCTCGGACCCGGCGCGCTCGGCGGCGCCCGGCGCGCGCGCTCTCGGCGCCCGCACAGAGTGTGTGGCTTCCGGGGCAGCTGCGCGGGACCGGAGGCTCACGTCTCTCACGATCTCCCGGCGCCCGGACTCCTCCTGTGGCACCCATTGGCTGAGCCGGCCGAGCCCCCGGCCCGGCCCGGCCCGGCCCCGCGGCGGCGTGCGGAGGAGGCGGGACCCTCCTCCTGCTGGCACCCCGCCGCCGCTCCCCTTTCCCGGGGCGCCGCAGCTCGCGCGGCCTGGGCTCCGGGGCGCAGGGCTCCCCGCTGAGGCCGGGGGACTCCGGCTCCGGGGTGCCCGGGGCCTCCCGGGCTTTAGATGAGAAGTTGGGTACCCCGGAGGCCCTTCTGGCCGAGGAGCGCAGGCCCCGGAGCTTCACGTGGTCCGGGGAGGCACGCTTCCCTCTGGGGCGGGGCCGCCGCCGCGTGTCCCCGGGGCTGGGGCGCGGGAAGGGACCCCAGGCTGAAGGGGAGCCAGAGGAAGGGGGCTGGGGACCTGGAGGCGTCCCGCTCTGAACGGGGGGACGAGCAACCCCTCTTCCCTCCGGGACGGCTTTGTCCGACCCAGAACGGGTATGGATCGAGCCCCTCCCGCGTGCAGGACATGGTTTCTTTCCTTCCTCCCAGGTTTTCAAGTCACTTTTTTTTTCTTGGAAACTTTCCCTCTTATCCGCTTGGATGGTCCCATCTCCTGGGCTAGGAAGGCGCGAGGATGCGCTTTTTTAAAAAACTGGGGAGCCTGAGCTCCGCACCGTCCCTGCCTGCAGGCTACAGAGTTGTGTGGTGCGGGGTCCGGGGTCCGGCTGGGCAGAGCGGGGCCTGACATTGACACCGGGCTGTGCCCTCAGCGGGAAAAGGCTCCCTCTTACCTATTGAATCCTGACTGCTGGCTTCACCACGCCCTGGGGAGCGCGTATTCTGACAGTCCTAAGTTAGCCTGTAATGCTGGGATAGAACCTAATAAAAACCAAAAGGAAAAGCGCTAGGGGCGAGGGCTTGAGAGCACCAAGTCCTCGAACCCTTGCTGTGTTATCTCAGGACCCTGGCAGGCCGCTGAACCTCTCTGGGCCTCCGTTTCTCTGTGTGTAAGGCAGATAACTGTGTGCCCCTTCCAGGATAAGAACTATCTGTTCAGCGTGTGATAGATATAGAGGACCTGGGTGTTTATTTGTTGAGTGGATAAGTGAATATTTCTGCGTGGAGGTAGAATATGCTTAACAGTGTCCGGGCTGGCATGGCTCAGTAGTGGAGAATATCCTTAACCGTTTGCTAAGCACCTGGCTAGTTAAATGCTTTTCTGAGGTCAGATGTGGTTCTGAAGTCCAGCGTAGCTCAGTTGCCTTATCTGCCTGCTAATGTTATTTTCATCATTAGAATAGCTGTAAGAATTCAGAAGGAAAATGTGTGTGTCCCCGTGGATGGTCCATAAGTCGTCCTGGCTGATGTGGGCTCCCAGGATGCATTGCTCTTACCTGGGCCTCAGGTTTCCTGGACCTGAGCTGTGGCCTCTGTCCAGAAGCCTGGCATTCTGACAGTGTGTACTTTCGGGGAACCCCAGGGTGTCTGGGCTGCGAGTACCACTTGGTCAAGGAATCATGAAGGTTCCAGTTCTTCCCCAGTTAGGGGTTTGTCAGGAAACTGGTTTGCAGAGGTCGCCAGCCCAGGGGTGAGAGATGAGTCAGCTAACGTGGCTGCCCTGCCTCCCCTGTCAGGGCGAAATGAATCACAACCCAGTGAAAAACGACTTTCCCAAGGTCACACACCGAGCCTCCTGCCTCAAGACACACTGCCCTCTTCCTAGAGTGACAGGAGAGGGTGAAGGAAAGTCAGAGCAAAAAGGGGCCTTCCATTTGGCAGAGGAGGAAACTGAGGCCAGAGAAGGAAAGAGACGTGACTGAGATGAGGCTTTCACAAAATAGTGGAGATGTTCTATCGTATTAAAAAAAAAAAGGAAAAAAAGATGCTTTCTCCACACCCCTGTCCTCTGTGCCATCCTGCACGCACCCTGAGGGAGGAGGAATTCCCAGACTCCTGGGGCTTAGCAAGCTCTCTCTGGACTCGGCAGGAGTCTCAGAGTTGGATTAGGCACAACTTGACAACTGAAACCCTTCTGTGAGCGGGAACAACATGTGTCCTCACAAAACTATGACCTTGGGGAAGTGGCTCTCCTCGGAGCTCTGGTTTCTCCCCTGGAACATGGAGGCTTGCTCCCCTGTGGTGGGTGCGGTGAGACAGGCCCGGGGCCCTAAGTCAGAGCAGCGGCTATTTTAAGTGGATACACCCTCAGTCCGGCCTGCTTGGGTGCGCAGGCTATTGTAAACATCTCCATGAGGATCCTTGTCCCGGGCTGAGCCATTCGGGGACCCGACCCCACTTGCCCCAGAGCTGGGTCAGCCCCAAATCCCCCCTAATCAGCTTGTGACTTCAGGGAGCTCAGCCTCCTGGTCACGGGGTGTCGCGGCCCAGAGCTCGGCTCTGGCTCCAAGGGTACGGGCATCCAGTCCCCCCTTCCCCGGGCTGGCAGAGGTGCGGAGGCCGGGAACAAAGGGGAAAGTGTGTGGAGGCACTGGCTGGGGACCCGAGGCCCTTCCCCCACGGCACTCCTGGACAGAAAGGTGAAAAAGCCACGCAGTTTGGTAACCAGTTTGGTAACCAGTTTGGTAACCGGCGTCCCCAGGATCGTAGAGGCCAAGAAGGCATCCTGCGGGCTCAGAGAGGCTGTGTCCGGGCCCACAGACCCCGCCTGGCCACCAAAACAAACCTCCATTGTTACCTCGGTCCGTGGGAGGGGTGGAATGGAGCTGGAGGCCCTGCCATCCGGCCTGGTGGCCAGGGAAGCCGTAGCTAAGGCGTAAATGCTGGGGTTTGACAGGAACAAGGCCTTGGATTTGGGCAGAATGAAGGCAGCACCCATCCTCTCCCAAGACCACCTCTCTGGCGTCTGCCTCCCAGGGGCCTCGGCACCCTGGAAGTTGAGGGGGAGAGAGCTTTTGCCAGATCCCAGTTTATGGAGCATTTGGCTACAGAGGGAGGCCTCTCCGTCCGTGTCACCAGATTCCCCCCGCCCTCCTCCCTGTGGAGACGTTTGGGAGTGGGGAGGAAAAGGAGGTCCCCTAGGCAACAGCTCCACCATCCGACCTCAGGCCAGCCACACCCCCTACTGGAACTCATTTCTCCAACAAGGACCTGAGGCCAGCCACACCCCCTACTGGAACTCATTTCTTCAACCGCCGCAGTAGGAAAACAGAAAATACCTCTCTGGGTCAGGTTGTGGATTTTTTTTTTTTATTATTATTATAGAAGTATTGGAGGCCACTGTGGAGAAATACACACAGTAAAAGAGTAAATGCCTTCCCCCAGCTGTAACAGTTTGCTGTTTACCCTCACACACCTCATTTTGTGCGTGTGGGTATGTGTGCCTGTAAGTGTAATTTTTATGTAATTGGATCCCGTTCTGCGTGGCCCACCACCCGTTAGGAGTAAATTCTCGCAGTTCTTCTCTGCGTGTAGAAGCAAGTACCATTTGTACAAGCTAATTATCTTCCCTTTCTCTACGCAAAATGTACATTCTAGTCATTGTTTTGTACTTCGCTTTTTTTCCTCTGAAAAAAATCTACCCTGGGGCTCTATTCCAGATCAAGTACATACAGATGTGTTGCATTCTTTTCAACCAGCTACATAGTGTTCCATGACAGGCGTGTCCCGTGATTACAAAATGGTACCCCCATCACTTTTTCTTCATGCCACTCATCGCCTGATGTATATCTTAGGTATTTCTTTTCCGTCCTCGCCCTCAACTAAAATATCAAGTTCCAGAAAGGAATTTGGTGTAGAGTGCCCAATTCCCCATTGACTAGCATAGTGTTGGGAATGTGCATCCAAGCATTATCCTTTCCTTAGTAATGTAATTTATTTTTTGTAGAAAACCTCTCTTATTGAGAACTGGAGGTCTTAGGGGAAAGGGCATGTTCAAGGTCGGGGAAGCTGGAACTTATATTTGTTTGCCGAGAGTGTCGTGGACTTTTGCCTATCCCCATGGTCTTATCAAATTAAATTGGCCAGAGTTGAATTGGTACCCATCTCACCGATGAAGGGGTACCCCCTCAGGGTGGCAGCTTCTCCAGGTGTCCAGGTCCTGACGCAGGGCCCACACACACACAGCCCAGGGAGTTAGTTGTTTGCATTTAACATCTCATTTTATATTTTTAAAATATATATTTTATAGATTTTTTTATAGAGAGGAAAGGAGAGGGATAGAGAGAGAGAATCATCGATCAGCTGCCTCTTGCACACCCCCTACTGGGGACGTGCCCACAACCCAGGTACATGCCCTTGACCGGAATTGAACCTAGGACCTTTCAGTCCGTAGGCTAATGCTCTATCCACTGAGCCACACCGGTTTTGCTAACATCTCGTTTTAGGAGCAGCCCCGTTTTACTTATTTAGGGAGAACAACGTGGTTTTGCCTGAAAGGCTTTGAAAATCCTGTGCCGTTTACCCATCGAGTTTGCACGTAGCGCGGTTCAGGGGACCTGGGGCTTAAAGTAGAAATTGGCAAACTTTTTCTGTGAAGAGCCACGTAGTAAGTAAATATCACCGGCTCTGTCACCGTCAGCCACGATCACTCATCCCTGTCACTGTCGCACAGAAACAGCCATCAACAATACATAAACCAGTGAGCGTGGCGTGGCTGTGTTTCAATCAAACTCTATTAAGGCTCACTGAAATTTAATACAATTTTCTTGCACCGCAAAATATTAGTCCTTTTCCCCAGCTCGTTAAGAAAACATAAAGCCCATTCTTAGCTGGCAGGCTGGACTCGGTCCAA